AAGCCAAAAATGTTCTGCTAAGTAGCATCTAAATTCAATTAGACTTCGATGTTTCTGTTGTCACTTTTCCTCATTTTTTTTAGCAGAACCCTAAGAGTATGTTGGGTCGTACCAAAGACGTTTCTAAGTTTTTTTGTGTCTACAATAATGATTAATAATCATATTACCAAGCGTGTTCTATATTGCCATAGACTTATTAAATTTACTTTCATTACTTTCTAATTAAACAAACGTAAATTCTCTAGAGGATGCTAGGCGCATTATATACACCAGGTTTGGGTCGCATCAAAGGCTTCTCCTAACTTCTTTTCTAGGTCTACTTTATTAATATTTTATTAAATGCTTCCCATTTCGCCACACACTCATTTAATTGACTTTGTTTGCTTTCCAGTTACTGTGAGGGTATTTTGGCCGTGCTTAATTAATTTTTTCGATTTCTTTTAAAATACCTCCCTATGGTTCCTCTTAAGGAAACGATCTGTGGACACGCTTGATTCAAATTTCAAGGTAATAAAACATATTGATTTCTCGACTAAAAACGACCTGTATCCGGAGAGTAAAAATATATTTCCCAATATGATTTCCTGTCATAAAAGTAATTTTTAAAATTTGTTGATTTCACAAATAGTAAGTTTATACATACTGCAAGGTCTCTCATTCGGGTAACTGCGAGGGACAATATATCCAAGATAAATTAACTAATATTTATATTTCATATATATACTTTAATTTTATTCTTTATTATACCCTTGCAGATGGTATTATAATTTTGTCGTGAAATGTGTAACGAGAATAGAAGGAGACATATCCGACCCCATAAAGTATATATATATTCTTAATCAGCATCAGCAGCCGAGTCGATATAGCCATGTCCATCTGTCTGTTTCTATGCGAACTTGTCCCTCAGATTTGAAGCTATCTTTGTGAAAGTTTTCCCTCTTTCTGTTGCACGCAGCACATATGGTCCAGCTGGATCAGACCACAATATCATATAGCTGCCATAGGAGCGATCGGTCGAAAACTAGGTTTTTGATTAAAAACCTTTTTTGTTTATGAAGATATCTTGACCAGACTCGGCATAGATGAATTTCCCTGTGCTTCTTTGATACGGGCAAAGCATTTAAGCATTATGAAAAGGTTGGGGTAAGGGTATTACATCTTCGGCGTGCCGAAGATAGCCTTTTTCCTCGTTTGAATGAGTTTTTGAGTCCGCGGTTTCTATAAAGATTGGTGGTTTGTGTTCTCTTGTATCGACTATTAACCCAAATATCAATACCAATTTAAACTATATTATATTTATTATAACCGATAATCCACGGTTCATTTAAGTTTGGGATTCGCTACAATTTTCATGTTATTTTAAAACAGTTATCAAACAGGTAAGATGTACGATATCTTCAATATATACCAATATATTTTAGATATAATATTTTATTATACATGGCAAATACGATATTTTTAAGGTTTGATGTAGTGTAAGGTTCGGTCAAGTTTTAAAATTTTTTAATCGCCGCGTAGATTCACGCAGAGTATTGTGGAATCTTCAGTTGTGTATCCGACTCCTAAGGTGGAAAAGAAATTGAATATATAGCAAATTCTTTCATCCATAACGTTCAATAAAATTAAGTAAACTCGCTCTACTTGCGAGTGCTTGACTTGGAGTTGCCCTAACCGAATCGTCAAGCTGCCGACAAAAGCACTCTAAGTACTTCGAGCTGCACTTTGGAAAATGCATTCTTGAATAACTTCGGAACTTAGTGTCAGATCTTTAAAAATGCTTGTCGTATATCAATATATATTCCATTATATACATCAACTATGGGGGGACCAAAGTTGAATATTCTGGATCATATTATCATCATCAACATTCGAAATTTGATGTCTCTCGGTTAAAGGCTATGATATATGTGAAAATACCATACCAAATTTATGTGGTCATATATCATTTCTTCTGTACTGATATTCTATTACACATTTGCAAAGAACATACTAGTTTAAACATAGTACAAACCTTTATTATTTTGTTTTCTTCTTTTTTGCTTTCATTGGTTTTTGTTGTTGTTGTTTTGTTGGTTTTGTCAGTTTTGGGGTTTGTTGAAGTCGGCTTGGGTCGTTACGGTTTGGGTGTGGATCGCTTCGGCCGCGGCTTTGGCTTTGGCTTTGGATTGGGCTTTGGCTTAGGTTTAGGCGTAGGCTTAGGGTTAGGCTTAGGCTTAGGCTTAGGCTTAGGCTTTGGCTTTGGGTTTGGCTTTGGTTTTGGCTTTGGTTTTGGCTTTGGGTTTGGCCTTGGCTTTGGCTTTGGCTTTGGCCTAGGCTTTGGCTTTTGACTGGGTCTTCTAGGTGGCTTTGGCTTAGGTCTAAAAAGCTTCGAAATCCATTTCCAAATTTTTTTTAAAATTCCTAAAAATCGATGTTGCCCATTTTGTAAAGAATCCTCGTTCTGTATTCGACCATTGCTACTGTCAGATAGATCTTGCTCGTATGAATCCTTGAGTTGGAGTTCTGCAATCTTATTGTCTTCTAGTGAATTAAGACTTTCCACATTATCGTACTCTTCGGCTGTGAAAATGTTCGTTACAATTGCAAGTAGTAATATTCCAAATATAACTTTCATTTCTACAAGTCTTTTGAACTAACACGGAAAAACTTGTGCAAAAAGATTTTATAATGCCAGAAACTGCAGTAATTGGACGTGGCTTAATTCGAATTAGATATGGCCATATGGGCATCATGCTCCCTAGTTAAACAAGCATTTCATGAGACGACAATAAATTGTATACATATTTATTATACAAATTATTTTTCTTATATCATGTACGCATTGAAAATGAGTGAAAAAGGGTATATAGATTTTATGTAACAGGAGGCATGTCCGACCTCATAATGTTGATATTGCTATGCCAATCTGTCTGTATTGTAAACGTAGGTCCACTTAATACCCGTGCTGTACGATTTTGTGTCAACTACAGAAGTTTGACTTTTTTTGAGTAAGTCGGAAACTCCCGACTCTTACTTGCCTTTGCCTCAATTATATACTAATAAGTCTACGTTTGTGGCTGGCTCCATACTTAGCTCCATAATTAGCTTTACGTGATCAGCATACATAGCTGTGAAATCTTGATTAAAATGTGTTTAAATTATAAACTATTATATGATATATAAATTATATTATTATATGATATATAAATGATTGCCGGGTATAACCCGGCCTTGCCCGTGGCACGTATAAACTAAATTATCTCAAAAAGCCTTAAAAAGGATTTGACAACGAAATAACTTGCATACAAACGTTTTCGTTTCCCAGATTGCTGAAACACGTATTTATTAAGCTTTTATATAGAGCTTTGAATTAAGTTTGAAGTGAATCGGACAAAACTGCAAACTTAACCCAACCAAGCTTTGAATCGCATTTCTATCGAGTCTTGGATTCTGCGAAAAGCGTGAAAAACGGCTCAAATGATTTTTCGAAATTGTGCCACTGTTTCCACCAAAGAGGAATGGTCAAAGGAGTTTGACACGACGAATACTCCTTACATATCCTTAGTATTAGAGTATGCCTCATGTATCTGGTCACCACAAAACTCTATTCACCAATCAATAATTTAATTTGTACAGATACAACTCTTGTTGTTTGCCATTCGTGGTTAAAAGTGGGATGCTCGTGTGCAGGATTGGTCGAAAAGTAGGTTCTAGTATGAAAATCCGATCGTTTTTGTATGCAAATTTTGTTGTGGTTCAAGATATTTTGACCGAACTCAGTATTTATTAGTTTTTCCATGTTCCTAAAATAAATGGAAAATTTTATCAACATCGAGTCCCTATATCATATATCTACCATAGGAACGATCAGTCGAAAATTAAGTTGTTGTATGGAAAACTTTTTTGTTTATCAAGATATTTAGATCAAACACGGCAAACACGGAAGATTAATAAAATTATTGTAGCAGCAATATTTTAGCTATTGTAATTTTATTTTCCCTCCATTTTTTATGACATTATCATTATACTCTGGTAGAGGTTATAATAGCTTTGATATGTAAATACAACTCATATACACCCAAAAGTATATTGTGCATTATTTATTATTATTATTTTTATTATTTAGCATTATTATATATACATGTTCATCTGTCGTTTTTGCTTCGTGTTCTTCGGTCTGTCTATATTCTCAATCTAGTCTTATAGCTGACATTGGTCTTAAGTTAAGTTATTGAATAAAAATCTTGTTTTAAAATAACTTGACAAATTATTTCTAGTTTTAATGTAGTTTTTGTATAAAAACCATATCTTATCAACAATCCCCTAAGCGACTTCAGCCGTTGTTATATTAGAGAATTTTATCTTCGACGAAGATAATCTTTCTTTCTGGTTATAGCCTGAACCCATTAAAAATGGGTAAACAGGGTATAATGTATTTGTACAAAGCAGAAGGAAGCATTTTCGAACCCATTATGTATATATATTATTGATCAGCATCGTTAGCCGAGTCGATCCGTCTGCCCATCCGCATGTATTTAAGAATGCAAAGGACTCAGAGCCTAGAAGAGCTAGAAACTTGAAATTTGGAAAGGTCCTTCTTGTGTTCAGTACGAGTTTGTCTTCGATAATCGATAACTTGACCCGTTTCCAAATAATCGATCAACATCGATATCGCAATTGTGTTATTGAGCAAATCTCTAAGGCCTTTAGAGCTAGAGTCACTAAAGTCAGTAACCCCGACTAGAGCTTCTTAGTTTGTAATTATTATAATTTTTTTTATTATAATAAAAGATGGGTCAGTGGGTAGTTGGCACATGCCTGCTGTTGTTATATTTATAAAGAACAACAACAACACTTTTAAGACATTTGGTGCGGTGTGCAAAGAGGTTCAGATTCTCGTGATAAACATGGCAAGACGTCGGGCGCAAAAGAAACACGGTCGCCAATTCCAGTCACTATCTCCTAGTTGCTCATAACAATCCCAAGTCAGCCCTCCAACATTGCAAAAAACAAAGCCAGCATCATCTTCACGCTACACAAAGGTAGTTGCCAGGATACAATTTTTATTATGGCAAATATGATATTTTTCAGGTTTGAAGTAGTGTTAGGTTCGGTCAAACTTTAAAAATTTTCATCGCCGCAGTAGATTCATAAAATAATATTGTGGATTCTTCAGTTGTGTATCCGACTCCTAAGGTGGAAAAGAAATTGAATATATAGCAAATTCTTTCATCCATAACGTTCAATAAAATTAAGTAAACTCGCTCTACTTGCGAGTGCTTGACTTGGAGTTGCCCTAACCGAATCGTCAAGCTGCCGACAAAAGCACTCTAAGTACTTCGAGCTGCACTTTGGAAAATGCATTCTTGAATAACTTCGGAACTTAGTGTCAGATCTTTAAAAGTGCTTGTCGTATATCAATATATATTCCATTATATACATCAACTATGGGGCGACCAAAGTTGAATATTCTGGATCATATTATCATCATCAATATTCGAAATTTGATGTCTCTCGGTTAAAGGCTATGAGATATGTGAAAAATCCATATGGTCTTTATATGGTCATATATCATTTCTTCTGTACTGATATTCTATTACACATTTGCAAAGAACATACTAGTTTAAAAATAGTACAAACCTTTATTATTTTGCTTTCTTCTTTTTTGCTTTCATTGGTTTTTTTTGTCGTCGGGCTGGGTTTCTTTGTTGGTTTTGTCAGTTTTGGGGTTTGTTAACGTCGGCTTGGGTCGTTACGGTTTGGGTGTGGATCGCTTCGGCCGTGGCCTTGGCCTTGGCTTTGGCCTTGGCTTGGGTTTTGGCCTTGGCCTTTGCCTGGGTCTTCGAGATGGCTTTGGCTTAGGTCTAAAAAAATTCAAAATCCTTTTCCAAATTTTTTTTAAAATTCCTAAAAATCCACGTTGCTTATTTTGTAATGAATCCTCGTTCTGTATTCGACCATTGCTACTGTCAGATAGATCTTGCTCGTATGAATCCTTGAGTTGGAGATCTGCAATCTGATTGTCTTCTAGTGAACTAAGACTTTCCACATTATCGTACCCTTCGGCTGTGAAAATGTTCGTTACAATTGCAAGTAGTAATATTCCAAATATAACTTTCATTTCTGCAAGTGTTTTAAACTAACACGGAAAAACTTGTGCAAAAAGTTTTTATAATGCCAGAAACTGCAGTAATTGGACGTGGCTTAATTCGAATTAGATATGGCCATATGGGCATCATGCTCCCTAGTTAAATAAACATTTATAAAAGATTTCATTAGACGAAATTAAATAATATAATATGTTTTTATTATATAACATTATTTTTCGTATATCCTGTACGCATTGAAAATGTGTCATAACGGGTATATTCATTTTTTGTAACAGGAGGCATATCCGACCCCATAAAGTCAATATAGCCATGCCGATCTTTTCCGACTTGGATACTCCTCAATTATATACTTAGTCGTCGACTTTTGTTGCTGGCTCCATACATATGCTAATTAGCTATACGTAATCAGCTTACATAACTGTAAAATTTTGATTAAAATGAACTTAAGTTTGAGAATTCTATTCTGTATATATAAAAATATTTGTTCGGACTGACTCAATAGTCATTGACTGATTGATTGGATCGACGGAAAGCCTATACCATAAAAGCTGGAAAGCTGAACTGTTCATCATAGTTTCCTTATGTAACGAAGGTTCACGTTAAGACGAGGCTTCGGGAAATTCGTTTGTATGGTACTTTTTTGTTTCCATCCGTTCGGCCTTAAATTCAATTTTAAAGACCTTTGCTCAAATTCATTTGAGGGGTGTTTCACACTTTAATTTGGGGGATAAAGTTTCGCGCTTACATTAATTTCCAAGCATCTATATAAAAAGTCATTTAAGATGTGTTTCACATTTTATGCAAATTCTAAACATTCACGCTGGAAAGTGCAGTGAAGTTTTCAGTTTGTCCGATTTTCTGCAATTTACTTTTTGAGAATGGACAAATATTCTATCATTCAATGAGATATACAGTAGAAATTTTCATTAGGATCAGTAAGGAAACACTTAAAAATTATATGTTTTGACTGCCTGCTTGTTTGCGGCAGCTAGTGCAAATTCCAAGAATTTCTGTGTACATGAGCTTACACACATTCATGCGCGTCTAATTCAAACTCTATCTGCAGCATTGCAATTGCGTTTGTATTGTTTTCTGTTCTGCCATTTAAGTTGTTTTTTTTTTTTTTTCAATAAGACCCAATCATTGGTGTTGCTGTTGAATAGAGGCGGTGGCAAGGAATGCGGTCAGTTGCGAGTGCGAACCCTGCCAAGGGAACTTTTTTATTATTTATCTTTATTACTACGAGCGCGTAGCGCAAGCTGCATTTAGTGTTGGAATAAGAGGGTTCAGGGTATTCACTAGTCAGGAGCTCCCGACAAGAACCTCTTTCTTGTTTAAAACCCGAAACATGCAGCCAGTATTTTTTCGGCTAAATGGCTATGTATCTTCTTTAGAATTCGAATCATTTTCTTCTGTAGCCATCGCATCAATTTCCGCTGTAGCCATCGAATCAATTTCTTCTGTAGCCATCGAATCAATTTCTTCTGTAGACATCGAATCAATTTCTTCAGTATAGTAAGAATCTGACAACGCCTCAGGAGATTCAGGTTCAGTGGATGTTGTCGAAAATACAGCTGCGAATATTTCGCCCATCAATGTCAAATAACTATAAGGGGCAAACAAATTAAACATATAAAAAATTGTAATATGCATATATCTTGAAGTAGAAAACATATTAAAATGACCTTCTTGTGAGATACCGACTAGATAGTTACATCCGAAATTTCTTCTATACACCAAGCTGTGTATCCGATCTTTAAAAAAATGTTACGGCTTACGTATATACATACCAAAGCCTTAGACTATGGGGTTCCCGAAACTTGAATATTCTAGATCATATCGTTATCATCAACATCCTAAACTTGCTGTCTCTAGTTCTCGAAGGTTAAATTCATATTGATGCTGATCAAGAAAATATTACGTAGTCGGCTATGCTTTCTTCTCCTCCGATATACACATTTTCAAAGGGTTTGGTCCTACAATACTGGCTGGTATTTGATAGATATATGTACAAACCTATCGAGTTGCGTTTTCTTCTTCGTTGGTTTTATCGGTTTTGCCTTCGATGGCCTCGGCCTGGATGGTGGAGGTCTGGATGTCGGTGGCCTAGGCCTTGGCCTTGGTGTTGGCCCGGGGCGTGGCCTTGGGTGTGGCTTTGGGCGTGGCTTTGGCCTTGGCCTTGGTCGTGGCCTTGGGCGTGGCTTTGGGCGTGGCCTTGGTCTTCGATGGGGCCTCGGCCGTCGAAAGAGCTTTGGCTTGAGTCTTATCAATTTCAAAATTTTTCTCCAAATTTCACATAAAATTTAAAAAAGCCGATGTTGCTAATTTCGCAAAGAATATTCTGTATTGGACCATTGCTACTTTCAATTAGGTGTTGCTCGGATGAATCCTCAGGTTGGCGTTGTACAAGCTGACTGTGTCCATGAAGACGATTCGGATGATGCACTTGATGGTCATATAGTGAATTAAGGCTTTTTACTTTAGTTTTGTGCCCTTCGGCTGTTATTATTATAATGAGTAATATTTTGAAAAAGGACTTTCATTTTTAGAAGTAATTTATACTAATATGGAAACACTTGTGCAGTAACGTTTTAAAGCCCAAAACTGGAGTAATTGGAAGTGGCTTAATTCCAATTAGATGTGGCCATATGGGAATCACGCTTCCTAGTTAAAAAAAAACATTTCTAAAAGTCTAGGCTACTTTTACTGCTTCTTTCCTCAATAATATACTACGAAGTCGACTTCTGTTGACGGTTCCAAACGTATGCTAATTAGCTTTACATAATCAGATTTCATAGCCGTGAAAACTGTTTGTCCTGACTGATTGACTGATTGGTGAATAACGCACAGCCAAACCGTAAGATCTGGGAAGCTGAAATTATTATTGTAATGTCCTTAAATAAATGTCCTTAAACAAAATAAGGCATCCTCGGGGGAAAGTGCGATTCAAATGATTTTGATGAAAATTTAAGTTTTGTCCGATCAGCCTCAAAATCATTTGCAAAGGTTTTTGAGAAAAATTGTTTTGTACTTTCCGAGGGCAAGGAGGGTTATAACCGTTAGTCGATATATATTTTGCAACTCATAGAAGGAAACATATCTGCACGCCAAAAGTATATTGGGCAAGGCGAGTTGAGTAATTACCCCAAGTTGCGGGTGGAATTTCCCAAAGCGCTGAAACACATATTCATTAGTTTCTTATGTAGAGCTTAAAAAATAAGTTTGAAGCAAATCGGACAAAACTTAAAACTTCATCAAAAAATCTTTAAAATGCACGTTCCACCAAAGAAGTTATGACTCTGCGAAAAGTGAGATACGTCTCAAATGATTTTTTATATAGATCTTTGGAAATGTATTTGAGGGCGAAACTTCACCCACAAAATCTTTGTCCCCCATTTTCACCTAGTATTATTGGATTATTCGAAAAGCTCGATACATCCGATACAAAGATCTTCAAAAATTAGTTTGTAATGGTAACAAATGGTAACAAAAGACTGTCATACAAGCGATTTTTGCGAATTTTCCACACTTATGGGTTTGACGCACACCTTCATTCAAAAGGAAACTGCAGTGAAAATTTCAGCCCCCTAGCTCTTGCGGTATGGGCTGTGCATTGATCACCAATAGGTCAGTTAGACATTCAGTCAGTCAGTCAGGACAAACAGTTATATATATATATATATATATATATATATATATATATATATATATATATAAATAGATATAAATATAACCAACATATAAATATAATGAACAGCTTGCTGTTGGTTCAAATATACGGACACTTTTTTGGTAGTCTCAACTTTTTTCTAAACTTTTTAGTTTTTAATATCCATTTAAGCTACATGGTAAAATATGGTATCGACTTGGGTGCTGGGGGTCTGTATGGCGGTGGCCTTAACGGTCGAAGGGGCCTTGCCTTGATTTTCACTTTTTTAACAACTTTTGTGACTAGTCTGGTAGCTCTTATAGCTAATCTCGCAACTGCATATATTATAGCCAGCCAAGGGAACCGATGTTGGTTAATTTGAAAAGAATCCTTATTTTGTATTGGACAATCCCTTCTTTTAAGTAGATGTTGCGCGGATACACCCTTGCTTTGTGCAATCTGATTGTGTCCAAGATGACGACTGGGATGATGCTGTTGGTGGTCATCTTGTGAATTACGACTTTTCACTTTATTTCAATCCCCTTCGGCTATGAAAACTTTCGTTACAATTACAAGGAATAATATTGCAAAACGAACTTTAATTTCTAGAATTATTTCACAGTAACACGAATAAACTTGTGTAACATCATTTTTATAAGGCCAGAAACTGTGGTAATTGGATGTGGCTTAATTCAAGTCAGATATGGCCACATGGGCTCCACTCGCCCTAGATAGTTAAACATTTTTAAAAGATTTAATCAGAGGAGAATAAATTATATAATAAACTTTTATTATATTTTATTATATACATATATATTTATTCTTGATCAGCATCAATAGCATAGTCGATCTAGCCATGTCCGTCTGTCTGTCGTTTGTCGTTTGTCGTTCTATACTTTAGCCGATGCGCCGACAAGCTGCTGCAGCACCCGAACGCGGCCGCCAGGGTCCTAGCTGACCCGATCTGTGAGAGGCTCCTTCGGCCTTCCCCGACGACCTTCATCATCATTGTAAGTAATTTCATTGTATATATATCTTAAGAGTTACATAATAGTAACTATGCGCCACTCCCTTGGTTTTTCGCTTGGTAGAGATAAGAAGGCACGGATTGATTCTACCGCAAAAAATTAAACATATTTGAAATCGAAAAAAAGAGGTAGGCCTCTGACATTATCACAGAATATATATATTGGCCACAGTTTCTTTGGTGAAACGGTTCAGCGGCAAGCGATCCCAGCGTACAATAAAACAAAAAGAATTCGGAAAAATTTATTTGTGAAGAGTTTCTTTTTCGACCTGTTATTTATAAAAAATAGCTTGATTAGTTAGTTTCTGTTCGTTCAAATATACGCATACCTTTTTGGTAGGTTTAATTTTTTTTCTAAACTAGTTAAAAGCGCTTTATAGTGTTTCATGCGATTGACTTTCAATCCATATTGTGCAATGTACTTTTTTGCATTTGGTGATCAGTTTTATTTATTCAAAGGTTGTCTTGTACACGTCCTTGTACAGCGTCTTCCACAAAGGCAGCTCACTGCACAACATATTTCTGATCAATTCTTGATTAGGATGCGGCAAACTTTAATATTATTCCAAAACAGGTAACAGGTACGTTATCTATATCTATATATATTTGTATGTGCAATCATAACCAATATTACTCTAGTTTTATTTAAAGGAAATGGAGTTATGCCGTCTGCTTTTCACAGATGAAATTTTCGGTTCATCTAAATTTTATAAATTTATTGTTTACAATCCAAAATTTTAAGCAAGTATTTTTGCGCCTAGATGGCTACGCATATTCTGCAGAATCATTATTTGACATCGAAACATCTTCGTCTGTGTAATCAGAGTCCTGAGCAGGTCCACTATCCAATTAAAAAGATAAGATAAAAAGTCAAAGAAGTTGAGCATATAGAAAATTTGAACATGCAAACATCTTTCAATAGAAAATGAGAAGATTTAATACCATAACAGACAGCCCCTTTTTATAATGCTGGCAATGCCTTGTCTGTATCTAAGAAGTCGAGAATGCATATGATATCTTGAAAAACAAAAAGTCTTTCATGCAAGAGCCTTATTTTTGATCAACCGTTCCTATAGTGATCCAATCCATCTGGTTCCGGCATATGTACAGCTTTCGACAGAAATAGGGATGTTAAACATTTTAATGACGATAGTTTTAAGACTGAGAGAATATTTCGCATAGAAGGAGACAAAAGGACAGACATGGCTATATCGACTCGGTTGTTGATGGTGAAATATGGAATATATATACTTAATAGGGTAGGAGATGTCTCCTTCTAAGCGTGACACATTTCGAGATTTTTCGATAATTATAATACCCGCTGCAAGGGTATCACAAGGAAGAGCGCCCTACATAGGACATCTCGACTAGGAGTTATCCTGACCGGCTGTGCGCTTCCTTCCTTAGTTTTCAAGTTTTAAAACATTGTAAATGCTTTTATACGGTAAGCATATATACCAGAGGATTAGACTCTGGGGGCATGAATATTCTGGTATATACAAACCTGTCCAATTGCGGTGGCCTCCTTGTTGTTATCGGTTTTGGTTTCGGCGGTCTTGTCGTTGGGGGTTTGGGCTTAGGCGTCGGTCTGCGCGTCGGTCTGGGCTTCGGTCTGGGCGTCGGTCTGGGCTTCGGTTTGAACCATTTAACAACTACCTTAACTGCTGATTTTATCCATGAAAGAAACCCACGTTGCATGTTTTGCAGAGAATACTTATTTTGTATCGGATTCTGATTGTGTCCATGATGACGACTTGGATGATGCTGTTGGTGGTCATCTGGTGAATTATGACTTTTCACTTTATTTCTGTGCCCTTCGACTATGAAAAAGTTCGTTACAATTACAAGGAGTAATATTGCAAAAGGAACTTTCATTTCTAGAAGTTTGTCACAGTAACATGAATAAACTTGTGTGAAAACGATTTATAAGGCCAGAGATTGATATAATTGGATGTAGCTTAATTCGAATTAGTTATGGCTACTTGAGCAACACGGTCCCTAGTCAAACAAACATTTTTGAAAGATTTCTTGAAAGCAAAATAATTTATATAATAAACTTTTATTTTATTTTTGCTATGTAACTGTTACTAAGGGTATATTGCTTTTATGTAAATGTATGTGACAGGAGGTATGTCCGCCCAATAAAGTTTGACTTTATGAGGAAGTCGGCAATCCCCGACTAGGGCACTCTTACTTTTTCTTTCTTTGGTTATATATTAAGGAGACGACGTCTTAAGACGGTTTCATACATTTGCTAATTGGCTACACATAATCAGCTTACATAAGGGCGAAATCTTGATTTAAATGAGTTTAGGCGGTAATATTCTCTTTGTTTAAAACCGATTGACTTACTTATTGACTGACTGGTTGGTGATCAACGCACAGCACAAACCGTAAGATCTGGGAAGCTGAAATTTTCACTGTAGTTACCTTATGTGATGAAGGTTTATGTTAAGACGGGGCTTCGGGAAATTTCACCCGCAAGTATGGAAAAATCGAAACGAGAAACGTTTGTATGAAACTTAGATGTTTACCACCCGTTCGGCCTTAATTTTAAAGATCTTTTTTTAAGATCTTTGTTCAAATTCATTTGAGGAGTGCTTCACACTTTTCCAAAAATGCATTCCTCCTTGGTGGAAATGGAGGTCAAGGATTTGGTGGAAATTAAATTAATTTCACTTTTTTCGCAAAGTCTGGACATTCACGGTTTCGTCCGATTTGCTTCAAAGGTCTACATAAAAACTTAATGAATACGTGATTAAACGAATTGGGAAATTCCACTCGCAACAGTGGTAAATTGGCGGAAAACGGTTGTATGAAAGTTGTCTGTTTACCGTTCGATCAGTGTCTAAATCATTTTAAGGCTTTTTGATTCAGATTCTTGGGAGAAACATTGCCAGACGTCGGGCCCATTGAAATGATACAGATTTTAAGGGTGCAGGCACACGAAGTGCAATTGCTGAAGCCTGGTACGCTAGCTTTTGCTACTACTGTGGCAAAGAATATGCACCAAAATAAGGCTGTAAAGTTTACCTAAAGTACGCATTCAAGCAGAAAAACAAGCACAAGGCAAAAGGCAAAGGTTCGCGGCAACCAAGCAGCGCCTGGTACCCTAAGCTTCGCTCCCGGCCAGCAATCATTTGACAGAGGCTGCGCGATTGCCAGCCCAGCGACCGCAGAGCTCTCTCCTCATATTGTAGAAAGAACACATGCGGCAATGGCAATCACTCGCTTCTAGTTGCTGACAACAATCCCAACTCAGTCCTCGAGTTCAGGTTGGATCAACTGTTCGGCAGATTGGAAAACTTATATAATGACCATAATAAGGGTAGCTTTGTAGAAAGCCAACGGTGTATTCTCCAAAGCTTGTATCACCCTTAGAATAGCAGGCAAGTACCGCGACGAGCAATCCCAGCATTGTAGAGACCAGAAGGTAGTAAGATAGAAGAATGTACAATGAATAAAATTAAAATTATTAACCTAATTTTTGAAATTTTTGAGAATAAGTTTTATTTATTTAAAGGTTGTCTGGTTCGCATTGCAGCAACTCCCGGAAAGGCAACTTCACTGCATAACATATCCAAGATTTATTTTTGCTTAGGATTCGGCAAGCTATTAATGTTATTCTTAAACAGGTAAGAAACAGCTAACAGGTAAATGTTTTTCATGTTCACCCAAAATATTTTTGCTACGATATTTATTATAGGTGGCAAAAATGATATTTTTAAGGTTTGAAAATCACACAATTTTTCTTATATGTTAGTCTGCTTTATTTAAAACACATCGGGTTATCTCTCATCTTTTTCCGGGTGTATTTTTTGGTTCGACTCAATTTCATACATTTATTGTTTATAATTGGATAAGACTTAAACCATGTAATTTTTTTTCGCCCGAACGGCTATTATTCTGGACTTGAATTTGATATCGAATCATCTTCATATGATTCTTGGTCCCAAATAGGTTCACTATCCAATTTTAAAGAAAGAAGAGAAGAGGGCAAACAAATCGCATTCATCTTTCAACATAAAATGAGAAAGAAAGGCTATCTTCGGCACGCCGAAGATTTAATACACTTGCAGACAGCACCTTTCCTATTGCTTACAATGCCTGTATCTGTATCTGAGTATGGTGAAGATATCTTGATAAACAAAAAGTGTTTTATACAAGAACCACATTTTTAACCGATCGTTATTATGGGAGCTATATGATATAGTGGTCAGATCCAGCCTGTTCCGACATATGTACTGTGTTAAGCAGAAAGAGGGATGTAAGCAGATTCATAACGATAGGCTTAAAACTGAGGGACTAATTCGCATGAACTTCCCTTTGCTTCACACTTTGGTAAATGCATTCTTGAATAACTTTCGAACATAGTTTCCGATTTTTAAAACATTTCAAATGCCTAAATATGGTGCACATATAATACCACATTAATGCTGATCAAAAAAATATACATTATTGGCTCGGATATGCTTCCTTCTGCATTGATAGTCTTTTACATATTTTCAAGGGACTTGGTTTTACAATACTCACTGGCATTTGATGGATATATGTACAAACCTACTGATCGTTGTCGTTGTTGGTGGTCTTGTCGTTGGCACTGGCCTGGGTGGTGGGGGGTTGGGCCTTGGGCGTGGTCTGGGGTTTGGGAGGGGTGTAAACCAATTCACAACTGTCGTAAATGCAGAGCCAACTACTTTCGTCACTTTTTTCGCAGCTTTTACAACCCAACCCCAAAAACTACGTTGGTTATTTTGCAAAGCAGCCTTATTTTGTTTACGACCATTCCTTCCTTTAAATGGATGTTGCTCGGATAATCTCTTGCGTTGCATAATCTGATTGTGTCCATGATGACGATTGGGATGATGCTTTTGTTGGTTATCTAATGAATTACGACTTTTCACTTTATTTCTGTGCCTTTCGGCTATGAAAACGTTTATTACAATTACAAAGAGTAATATTTCAAAAGGAACTTTCATTTCTAGAAATCTTTTAATGTACCACGAAAAAACGTCGGTAACAACGTTTTTATACGGCCAGAAACTGGTATAATTGGACGTGGCTTAATTCGAATTAGATATGGCCATATGGCCATTACGCTCCCTAGTTAATCAACTATTTTTGAAAGATTTCATGAGAAGAGAATAATTTATATAATACAACTTTTGTATATTTTATTATTTTTCTTACATAATTGTTAATAAATTTATATTGTATTAATTTAATTGTATTTAACAGGAGGTACGTCCGCCCAAATAAAATACAAATACTCTTGATCTGGACAACATGCTGAGTAGATTTGGCCCTGTCTGTCAGTCTTTTGAAAGTACGAATTTGTTTCAAATCATCAGTAAATTACCCCGTTTTTGTGTAATCGAAAATATTCAAGAATTTTGGCTTTTTAGGAAAGTTAGAAACGTCCGACTAGGGTACTCTTACATCTTTTTTTCTCAGTTAGCTAAACATAATCAGGTTACATAAATGTGAAATCTTGATTCAAATTAGTTAGGGAGATTTATATTCCGTACATGTAGCTTCATGAAAGTCAATTCTAAATGTTGTTCGTAGAACTACTTGTATTGTTAATACAATGTGCTGAGTGTAGCGCCAAACCAGAATCAAGTCTCAAAGTTAGAGTTAACCTCGCGTTTATCGTGAAACTTATAAAAAGTGGCTGTAAACTTGATTTCATATATAACGATAGACTAAAGTAATCTTCGGTACGCCGAAGATTTAATGCTCTTGCAGACATTCGCCTCATGTGAGAATACTAGCGGGTATAGTCCGGCATTGCCCGTGGCATGTATAAAATAAATGTTAAAAAGCTTTGAACATGATTTTTAAACTGATCGGACGATAAATAAACAACTTACAGACAAACGTTTTCCGCCAATTTACCACTGTTGCGGGTGGAATTTCCCAAATCGTTTAAAAACGTATTCATTAAGTTTTTATGTAGAGCTTTGAAAATAATTTTGAAGCAAATCAGAATCAGTTTGTATGTAACAGGCAGAAGAAAGCATCTCCGACACCATAAAGTAAATATATTCTTGATCAGCCCAGTCGATCTAGCCATGTCCATCTGTTTGTCCGTCTGTAGGTTTAAGCGAATTGGGTAAATAATAAGAACTAGATTCACCCAAAGTGATGTGCTTACTCTAGAATAGACATACATATATATCAAATGTCTTTCATTTTATGCTATGAGGTATAGCTATAAATTAAGTTAAATTAGTTGGGTATTTTATTATTTATTGCCCACCAATTTAAACTACAATTTGAATGCAATTAACTTTTTGAGAATACACAAATATTGTATGGTACAATAATATACTGTAGAAAATTTCATGAATATCGGTTAAGAAACACGTGTTTGCGGCACCAGCGCACACTCGAAACATTTCTGTATTCATGTACACACACATTCATGCACGTCTGCTTTGAATTCATAAACAGCATTGCAATTGCGATTGTATTGGTTTCTGGGCTTTTTATACACTGAACCCATTAAAATATGAGTATAATGGTATATTTTATTTGTGCAAAATTAAATTGTATGTAACATGTAACAGGCAGAAGGGATCATCTCCGACCCCATAAAGTGTATATGTTCTTGATCAGCATCAATAGCCGAGTCGATCTACCCTGATCTACCCTGCCGTGTTCTTGTCACAGATGAAATATTCGGTTCACCTCAATTTTATAAATTTATTGTTTATAATCGTAAACTTAAAGCAAGTTATTTTTTACGTCCAAATGGCTGTGCATCTTCTGTAGAATAAGATTCCGAGCTCGAATCACTTTCTTTTGTATAATCAGGATACCAATCAGCGTTACTAACAAAAATTAAAGAAAGGAGGTAAGAGGGCAAACAAATGGAACATATAGAAAACAAGTAAACACGTTTATAGCCTTTTACACATTTTCAAGAGGCTACAATAGAGACTGCTTTTTTTATAGACATATATACAAACCTATCGTATTCCGTTGTCGACTTTGTTGGTAGTGTTGGTTTCGTTGTCGTCGGCCTTGTCGTTGGCCTCGGTGGTGGGGGTCTGGGTGGCGGTGGACGCGGCGGTGGCCTTGACGGGGGTGTAAATAAATTAATGAGTATTGGAACTAATACAAGACCTATGTGAATGGCCAAGGGCAACGCCCTATGTTCGACATTTTGCATGGCATCATTGTTTTGTGTTGCAGCATTTCTTCTCTTAAATAAATGTTTCTTTCGTTGTGCACGCAGATTGTGTCCATGATGACGACTTGGATGATGCTGTTGGTGGTCATCTGGCAAATTATGATTTTTCACTTTATTTCTGTGCCCTTCGACTATGAAAAAGTTTGTTACAATTACAAGGAGTAATATTGCAAAAGGAACTTTCATTTCTAGAAGTATGTCACAGTAACCTGAATAAACTTGTGTGAAAACGATTTATAAGGCCAGAGACTGGTATAATTGGACTTAGCTTAATGCGAATTAGTTATGGCTACTTGAGCAACACATTCACTAGTTAAACAAACATTTTTGAAAGAATTCATGAAAGGAAAATAAATTATATAATAGACTTTTGTTATATTTTATTTTTATAACCTTGCAGAGGTAATTTAATTTTGTCGTAAAATGTGTAACGCATAGAAGGAGACATATCCGACCCCATAAAGTATGCACATTCTTGATCAGCATCAACAGCCGAGTCGATATAGCCATGTCCGTCTGTGCGTCTGTCTGTTTCTATGCGAACTAGTCTTTCAGTTTTATCTTAATAAACTTTGTAGAGGTTGGATCGGACCATTATATCATATAGCTGCCATAGGAACGATCGGTCGAAATTTAAGTTGTTGTATGGAAAACTTTTTTGTCATTCAAGATATTTTAATTAAACACGGCATTGAAATATTTCACTATGCTCCCTTCATTTTGTCAAAATCTTATTTACATCGGACTGCTATATCATATATATGCCATAGGAACGATCGGTCGAAAACTAGGTTTTTGATTAACAGCCTTTTTTGCTTATTAAGATATCTTGTCCAAACTCGGCATTTACTATTTTTCCTGTACTTCTTAAATACGGGCAAAGCACTATAAGCATTATGAAAAGGTTGGGTCTGCAAGGGTATAAGAACTTCGGTTTTGTTATGTATTATTTATTTATTAATAAGGGTGTATTGCTTTTATGTAAATGTATGTAGCAGGAAGTATGTCAGCTCATATAAGGTATATATGTTCTTGATCAGGACAACATGCTTAGTCGATTTGGGCTTGTTTGTTTGTTTTTCCAAAGAACGCCCATCTGGATCACCAGCAGTACAAATTTGTTTCTAATCACCAAAAAACTGCCTCTTTTCTGTGAAATCGAAGACTCCAGAGCTTGGACTTTATGAGTAAGTCAGAAACCCCCGACTAGAGTACTCTGACTTCTTCTCTTACTGCTTTCCATACATTTTCTAATTAGCTATATCTAATCAGCTTATATAAATCTAATATCTTAATTACAATTAGTTAGGGAAATTAATATTCAGATAATATATATATAGTACCTTAATACAGTTATGTAGCTTAAGGAAAGTCGATTCTAAATGTTGTTCGTAGAACTACTTGTATTGTTAATACAATGTGCTGAGTGTGGCGCCCGACCAGAATCAAGTCTCGAATTTAGAGTTAACCTCGCGTTTATTGTTAAACTTATAAAAAGTATATTCAATTTTCATATATTTTCATGCATGGTTTTGTGGCTGTAAACTTGATTTCATATATAACGATAGACTCTTTGATTACTTTAATCGAATATGTTGCCACATAAGATTTTAAATTTTTGTCCTATCGTTCCTATTTTATTTGTTTATTTATAATCCTCACACTGGTTTCGCTTTTTTAACAGATGTGATCTCCAGGTTAGTTTCCTGTCTAGTCTTGTTCTAAGATGTTTTGGCGTGGGTTCTTCTGGAATTACGACTCCGTCAGTACTCGGCCTTGAATGTATCAGTGTTCCGGATTTATGACAGCGCCTGAAGCCAAACTGGTAATTCGCGCCAGAGAGACCAGCATCGTCTATTACTGACAACACTCTACCCTGAAACGCTCTTTCGAGTATCTTGGTGAGCATTAGCAGTAAACTAATAAGAGGCGAGATTGGCTTCAGGCCTACCAGGCTTAGGTATCATAAATATATATGCGCATTTATCCATTGCGCTGGGAAGTAGCCGATTTCCATGCATCCGTTATATATTTTGGTTATAAAGGAGATACTTTTTTGAGGTAGTAGCTTTAATGACATTGTATTTATACCATCATCGCCTGGCACACCTTCCTCCTTCTTAAAATGCAACATGATCATCACATCACCAGAATTAATTAATTAAATCGAATTATTTAATCTGTTTATATGCGTTAAAAAACAATGCATAGTTTCAAATTTGCACCAACTACACATTAATTTCATATTTGCTGTCCATTTTGAGGCGGTCCGCCGTTGTATGCCGTTGCCGGCCATGTTGTGACTGCTGGCCCGAATAATAGGCAGGTCCTTGAATCTAGCTGGTCTGGGACATTCAATTGATGAATGCGATTTGCAATTAGCAATACGTTTCCACTGCACTGCGGCTGCCGTTTGGGTGGCCTTTGGTTCATGGTGGGCTGTGTGTGGCTCTGTGTTCCGCCTTAATTAAAACGAAACCAAAATACGCACTGCCGCATGTCTATCTGGAATAATGTTATTTGCCATTCTCACGTGTCAAGTATTTTTGCTTTTTTTCGGTAGTGAATATAATTTTTGCCACTAATGGATGGCTGGCGTTATTATATTCAATACCCATTAAAAATGGGCAATAGAAATGTATATTGGATTTTTAAGAAGCTTTGTATATTCTTCATTACTATTAACATCACCATCTAGGGACTGTATTATTTTATTTTATTTATTTAGTGTTTGGGAAAATTGCAAATCAAACACAAATTTTTTTACTAAAACAACTTTAAAATTTATTGTAAAATTGCTATTGTAATTTATTTAATAAGATTCAATAATTAATGTATATTGTTTTAAATAAATGTATTTTGTCGCAAAGTAATTTATAAGGATCTAGTGGGAAGATCAGCAGAGTGAATCGTAACCAGGGCCTCGTTAGGGCACACTAAGCTCTCTTGCACTTTGGATATAAATGTAATCTAGTAGGTGTCCATCAATTTGGTCTTCTATTTCACTTATGGTAATCTATTGATATAAGGCAGATATAAATGAAGTTCAGATATTGAGTAAATTTCATTTTACAACAATAGCCCGTTTCTTCTTCACGAATATATTTGTGCTTTTGGTTTCTTTTAAATACATAAAGTTTGAATGTTTATTATGGTAGTTGGGTTGGGTACAGGGTATCCCTCAGTCGGCGACCTAGAGCTACGCCGACTGGCCATTAATAAACAACATGATATTTAATTGGTGGCGCTGGTATTTGCGCTTCTCCATCAAATTCTGGCAGAGTTTTTGTGAATCGATTGGCCGACGAATGGGACTCAGACATGAAAAGAACTCTGCTATGGGTTACCTCACATTTTCCAAAAAGGAACACAGCACTCTTCGGTAACAGGTATATGTGAATCCTTGGTATTGCAAAGGGGTGGCAAAAGTTTATAATGAATATATTTAAAAATAGACCACATCACGGCAAAGTATCTAATTGTCTTTTTTTTCATCATATATATTGCTTACGCTATTAGCCAGAATGAAAATATACAATCAAATTATTGTAATAGGATCTCTCCGATCTGCTTGAATGTAATCCTGGCTAACTTCAGCACTTGCCAGGCGCATGTGTAGCACTTAGGACAGCAAATATGAAAGATGAATGTCTGGCCATAAATTAGCAAAACATATTTGTTCTCGATTTCTCGGCTGTCGACTGCAGCATTATTGGAAGCCCGAAAAAAGACAGAGGGATCAACTGGCTGGAGCGGGAGGGGGATTAAAGCGCGCGCCAATTGCTGTGCGGGAAGCCTGGGAACCTTTATTTTTTTCGGGTCTGCCCTTAGACGAGTGCTATAAGCGCTCAAAATGGTCACGGACAATCGGAAAATTGAAGCAACCCCTAAGGGCTCAACATAAAAGGACACAGGTGATGGCTGCAGGTTTAGCGCGCTTCTTGCAGCGTGGGAAACTGAGAAGGGCACCAAACACAAGATGGGTCCAAATAGCAGCCGAGCCACTGGCATGTGCAGAAAATCCATCATAGCACTGACAATGCATTCGGGAACAGCACCACAAACCTTGCTCAAAATACAATGCGGCAAAAAATGCGGCAGCCCCTGGTCCACAGGTCTCTGGCTAGGGTCAGTGGCTGGTTGCAATTGACATAGGTCTATCTATTGCCAGATATCTTTCGCTCGCGCTACCTGGCCTCAGGTGTGTTCCTGCCTCTGCTTGCGTGCCAAACAGTCGTTGGTTCTCCAATTAGTTTGCCATGCGTGCCTAAGACCTTGCAGTTATTGATAGAACTTTCTGTTTTTCATTTGAATTGCAGTTCTTGTTTCAATCCTCTTTCCTTGTATTCGCTTTCTATATTTGCAATCGGTAAATTCTGTGCTGCGGCGCTTATCCAATTCCAAATTTACATGTTAAGCCTCTTAACAGTTGGATAAAGTTGTTTTGAAGGTGTGAGACCTTGCTTCCTTATTAAGCTGTTTTTGGCCTTTAATCGTCTGCGCCGCGTACCTGCTCTAATTCTGTTTGTTTTGTGTACTTTATAGAAACGTATGTGACAAGTAGAAGGCATTTCGGACCTCACCAAATATATATATTTGTCATAATTAATAGGCTAGTCGATATAGTGTGTCTGTCTGTCTATGAACACATCTATCTAAAAGCTAAGCCCTTTAATTTCGAAAGCTCGTGTTGAACTGGCAATTTTTATAACAACAGCTTTGATGGATAGGCATAGAGATTGAATTTTACATTTTTATGATCAATGTTTTTCGGCTAGTTAACAAGATCTCTATGTAATCAGGAGGCTTTGCTAAACGACTTAGCTTTGTTTTTCTTTCACAGCTTCCAGCAAAACGTGAGAACTGCCATATTTATTGTGTATATATTTATTTAATTTTTTTTTTTTGAAAACAAAATACAATAATATTAAATACCATGAAAATCTGGTCATACTTTTGGTGCGCTGCGCTACTCTTAGCGTGCGGCGTTGGCAGCGAACTGCAGCAGTGCCTCACGAACGAGAATCCAAATAATGAAAAATTCATATTGGATGAGAACTCGTGGGAGCTGATGCTGCAGGGCGAGTGGATGATCGGCTTCTGTGTGCCGCTGATCATGGCCTGCATAAAATTTAATCGCGTATGGAGCAAGTTCGCACACGAGAAGCAGCTGGAGAAGAGCGAAATGATTGTCGCCAGCATGAAACTGGAGTACTCGGAGACGGTGATCAGGCGCTTCTCGCTGCACGATCTGCCCACCATTTTGCATGTTAAAGATGGTGTATTCCGAAAGCTGCCCTTGGCTCAGACCGTTGATGAGCTCAAGGAGCTGGCGCTAACAAAATGGCAGGAAACAGAACCAATGCCCTTTTGGCAGCATCCAAATGGTGTACTTATACAAGCCTACATACAATACATTCGTGCCATTGATAAGGTCTACCAGACAACCTGGCTGGATACGGACTATGAGCATGCCACATGGCTAGTGCGCATTGGCCTAGCTCTCATCTTGGCCATGATTGTGACGGCCACCTGTGGCGCTTACACCTTTATACGGGACAAGCGACACACCCCAAAACGTGCCAAGAAACCGAAGAAGGAATCGGTAGCAAATGACAAGAACGTCGAGGGTCGTACTTCCTACAAGAAGGGGGCGGTAAAATAGACAAGTGGCTTTCGACTGATTCTTAATCGTTGACACTGAAATTTTCAACAGAAGGAGGCTTCTTTTCTGCTATGTATTCATTAAAAACGGTTGAAATTTCCTTTCGTGCATCCAATACTTGACCAAAATTAGCCAACAACTAAATGTTCTTTTTTTTTTGTTTTCGTTTTTTCGACATAAGTAGTATATCCCCCGACACACCCAGTGTTAAAAAAATAAATATAAAATCTGTTTAGAATTGTTCATTAATTTCTCAATTGGAATCTGTTCTTGGGCCTTACTTTATATTGCGCTAGCCTCTATATTCACGGTTCATCTGGCTGAACATATGATCGTCAGTGCAGAAAGTAAATACTTGACCAGTCCATCAATCACATCGGACTCTGGCAGCGTAAACTTTTGCATCAGATCTTTATAAAAATTTCAACTGATTAACTGAATATACACGAAGAATACTTTACTATTTTTAATTATTAAAAATGGGTTTGATAGATTGATCATAAAGCTATGAATGAGGTGGAGCTTAATTTAAGTAAAGAGTAAAATTAAAATGGTCACAGGAACCAATTGTGAGCAACTTTATATTTTTATTTTGAGCACATCACACTTATGTCTATTTTATTGGAACTCAGACTCAAGTTTACACGGATTCTTTAGAGCAAGTTTCTGCTCCTTTTTGGCAGCTATGCAGGCCACGCCCTCGGGTTATCGCCAACAGGTAATTAGTACCTGTCACGATAGATGTGTGGGCCTGTAATCTCAATCACGTTGTGCTTAGCTTGAGTGCACAATTAGCAACGTTTGCTGGCCTAGAGACCCGCGTTTTTGAGCAGTTCCTGCCCCGGTTTGGTATCTAGTTGACGCTGACGAATGAGCATTTTGCGTCTTGTGTTTAGCTGGGGTATTTCATTTGTTTGCCCTGTCATGCGGTCTGCTGTCCGGTTATTAGACATAGATTAGCAGTAATTGCTTTTCTAAACAGATCTGAAACTTTCTATTGAAGGGTTTTGAGTTTCGTTTCAAATTTTCATAATTTTCTGCCACCATCTCCTGACTTTGACAAATCAGAATATTATATAGATTAGAGTGCTTAAATGATTATATCAATCTGTCAATGACTAAATTTTACGATTAACGACTTCATGTTGGCTTAAATGTATTCAGATAGAGCGTAATAACCGACAGCTATAGAATACGATATTTTTATATGGTTATATTTTTGTTTATGGCAAAAAGTTTTGAATTCCGCTTTGTATAAATTCAAATTATTTTTGTTGCTTTTGCTCTCTATTTTCCTCGTAGCTGCTAAATCGCAAAATTGTTTAAGTTTGCATTTTGCATTTGGCATTGTCGTAAATTAAGCAAATCGCGACATGGCGTGGGGCAGGAAACGTACGCATCAGTTGCAACAACACAATTTGAGAACAAATTTGTAATTCAATAGGTTTAAACAATAGTTGTTGATGTGGCGAGCCACATGATGATGACAATGATGATGATAGCTACGATGACGATCATGATGTTCAGAATGAAGCTTACGGAATGCTGCTAAATTACAATGCATTATTCATGCGCACCACAGGACACGAGCCAAGGAGCTGGCGGACAAAACACAAAAGTGTAAATCACTTGAGATAAATGAAGATGTAATGCCAAAAGGCTGCTCGCATTCGCCTTCCTGAACCTGATATAAAAGTCCTTTTCAGTTCGCAAATCGATGAAGCCCATTCAAAATTCACAATTGCATAACTTATTTATAAATGTATGCCATTGTTTTGGGTCTCGATGTCAGCACTGATGTAAAATTCGATCAACTTTGCCACAAACTGAAAGCTTGATGCGTGACACAATCCTGATGGCTAATGGCCGGATGGCGATGTATTTATAATGAGGCCAAGCCTTAGGTACAATAATTCTGCAAAATTAAAACTTTTTTTTATATATATTCTTCTCGGCTCAATCAATTTAAATGTATTTGCAGAGTATCGTCTTGCCTTGGTTGAAAGTCCAACTAATTTAAAATAATGTCTGCCAAGTGCAATTCGCTTCAGATGGAAGCGTATTTTTTTACGTTTCAATTTCAATTTTTGATTGAATTACAGCGAACAAGCAATTTAAAATACTCGTGTATACACGCAAATTTATTTATTTGGCTACAAAATATATATACATTTTGATGGCTCTGGGGGGCAGCTGCTGCTGCTGCTGGAAAATCTGACCATTTGTCTTCCAAGTATCGATTTAAGGACTTTGAACTCGCAGTGGGACCAGCACAGAGCAGCGAACCCGATAGGCTTGAAAAGACTCGGGGGGGTTGTCCAACTCAGACGCACAAACGATTACCCAATTTCACGTGTTTAGATTGTAGTTCACGAAAAGGGTTGAGACCCAGGTCTATTTGTGCTTTTCGCATTTTGATTGATTGCTGCCAGTTATAGCGCACAAATTGAATGACCAACTGCTGCTGCCCAGACCAGGCCCGTGGAGCCAGTCAAAAATGATAAATAGACCAAATGACCCATTTAACTGTTGCGTTACGTCTTGGTTCTGGGTCCTGCGACTTGGGAGCTTGGGCACTCCATCTGCTCCTTTCTCAGCTAGTCCTCGTAATTGAGTTTCTCTGATTGCCTTTGGGGCTATGGTCCACAACATTTAAAGAGGTTTTAGGCAAATGAGAAACGAACACACCTGCAAGCCAATCCAAAAAAACATGAAGACCAGTTTAATCTATTTATGCATGTTGTGTCTGTTCCGCATGAATGTCCTTTCTGCGAATCGATTCGCTGTCAGACGCTTTCATTTTACAAAGAATATTCAAATGAACAGATGATTATTGGCGACCTATAAATAAGAATCAGGGTTCAAGTCCCAGACGTAGAGCAGTCCTGGTCTAAAGCCATTGCAAAGGCCTTATTGGTTATGTGAATACGAGGAAAGTATGTATGTATAGCGCAAAAGAAAGCATTGCGGCACAAAGTATACATATATATATATATTTCTGATCAGCCTCTAAAACCTAGCCTGTCTTGAAACTAGAAAAGATAGACAATAAAATTAAAATATTTGTTCTCATAGTTTGTCGATAGTCCGGCTATAGATCCGACTATGAACGATTTTCCCATAGCTTTAATAAAATGGGAAGGCCAGCAAGAAGTAGGAGGGAGGAAAGCTCACATGGAGTAATCGATCCTTAATTTTAAAGATTGCTGCAGAATAACAACTAGGTTAATCAAAAATAACTATTTGGCAAAGTGGTTGCTAATAATTATGTAAATAAGCCAAACACATTTCAAGATCGATATGCAGAATCTTCAGTTTTGAAATCAACGCGACAAATGATGATGATGAAGGTGATGTTTGCCAAAAAACATCACCACAATTGACCGTTTCAATTGTTGTTTTCCTGTGGAAAACCCGCAATTATCGCAACAGTCACATCAATGGCCATGACGACACTCTCCGGGGTTCTGTGGCAGGGTTCCTAAGTATGCAGCCATCCATCAGTCAGCTACATAAATGCAACAAAATGTTACTTTTCCATTCAATTATTATTATTATTTCGTCTTATTTTTTCCTACTACTCTACAGCCTTTGAGGACCTTTGCTTTTCCATGGCCATTGTTGCCTTTTACAAAAGGCACCAGGGGGAGAGCTCAATACTACTTATATTTTTTCGCATGCCCAAACGAAGGACGGCAATTATAGGGCCAAGGGACAGAGTCAGAGTGAAAGGGTTCTACGGGCATTAGCCGGCTTTATAGCGTACACACCATTAGCGAAATGCCAGAAAACCCGAGAGAGGAAGAGAGACAGAGAGAGAGAGAGAGAGAGAGAGATATATGGAGCGAAAGAAAGGGTGATAGAGATTTAAAGGGGAATGGAAACCTTGGGACATACAAGCATAAACAGGAGCAGATAGAAGCAGCGACTGCCACCTTTGTTTGTTGGTCGTTTGCCTGCGGGAAGCAGGACAGGAACAGGAACAGGAACTGGTTCTAGAACTGGGAATGTTTTTTGTTTGGTTCGGTCTTGGCTGTTACGGTCTGTATCCCGCCCACCACTTCCGTGCCGTTGATGGCAAAGACTTTTAGCTTAAATGTCAATTGGGTAAAAATGTGCGTATTTTGCAAACAGAGGGCAAATACTTATGTAACATGCACACACACACACACACACACACATGAGTTTACACATGTCTAGGTCAATGGAAAAAAGGGAAAGAAAAATGAAAAAGGAAGAAAATGAAAAGCTTTGGCTAAATGAACCAACGTCTGACTTGCTTGGGGGCGGGTGGCTCTGGTAATGGTAATGGTTGGGACAACTCCTGATAGTCGGCTAATAGAAATGCGTACATATTGACATAAAATTCCCGGGGGCATGATTCAATGATAACGCGGCAGCTGCCATTAGGATTGATATGCGATATTGGTCGCCGTATAAAGACCTACAACATTTGCTTACATTTCTCAAATGTACATGACAATCCCCATAGATAAGAGCCCATCAAAAGGGCTGATGCGATGCGATGTTCCGATCGCTGATTAAAATTATCAAAGCCTAACTAACATATCGCGCAAAGATACACTGCTTGGCTTGGCATGGAGCTGAATGTGAATACAAATATTTGTACTAAGATACCTCCACTTGGGCCCCAAATTGAACAACAACAATTATTTAAACATTTGCGTATGAGTTAATTAAAGCAATTAATGTCGAACAATTAAGAAGTTTTATTTTATTCTGAGTACTTGAATTAAATACTACTACCTAGAAATTTCATATATATTATAACCTTGTAAGGATTATTATAATTTTGTCATAATATGTATATAGTCTAGATCAAAAAGCTTCCATAGGAAAATTGGGTTCCTGTATTCTAACTTAACTGCAAAAGAGAAATTTCTACAATGGATTAAATCTTCGACTAGCCTAAGATATCCTTAGTTTGCCGTTTTTAATTGTGAATATTTTACGGATCTGCTGTGCTTCTTCCACATCAA